TTTTAAGAAACTTTAATTTAAAAGAATGAACTTTTGGATTTGGATTATCTTATTATGTGATTAATAAGGAGTGTATGAGTTGTGGGGCTTGGGCCACTAGGTGGACAGCACTTATCTAAACGACTTTGTGAAGTAGAAGCTGTATTAGAGTTAACACAGAAACTTGTGGTTTTGCAGTTATGTCTCTATTAAAGTTACATGTATACTATTTATATTTTCTGCAACCTGTGTATTTTGACTGAAATGTGATGAAAATAATGCTAATAAACTTTATCCAATATATTTTATTTTAACATATTTTCTTGAAAACTTTTATAAGGCCCACCACGAAGGAGGGTATACTTGCATTGCTACAAACATCGCTGGATCAACGGAGAGAGAGTTTAGTGTTGATGTTTTAGGTAGGATTTCTGCTGATCATGTACCTGTAGCCAAAAAACTTGAGTTAGTAAACAATTAGAACTACAGTTTTGTGTAGAAGCATTGCAGTTCTAAAACTAATGACAATTCCATTGACCCTTCCAATACTTCTATAAATTCCACATCTTGTCATTTTTCACATTGGCAGTAAGGTAATCAAAACTGTTTTCCAGTATACATTGTCCATGTGTGTGTGTACATAGATTTTGTAATATAACATGTATTACTATCTTTTATGTTAGGGTTAAGTCTAGTACAATAATACTCAATTTTTGTCTGTCCTGAAAATGCAAACACATTTTACAATCTAAGTTTGCATGTGCATGCACTTAATTTCAATGGATGTAAACAAAAGGTTGGAGGATGTAAACACACTTTAGTAGACATTTTGTATAATAATAATACATTAAGAGCTTTTTAACGTTTTTAAAAAGACATAATATTAGGATAGGATGTAGAATAACATTGTGAATTTATTTGTTGATAGTATTAAGTATGGTAATGCTTACCCTAACTAAAGTAAAACAAAAAAAAATGTACACAAGTTACAGTGTTAATTTATTTCTTTATCTAATATAGGCCATACCTAATGAAGACGTATCAAATGTTAGGCCTAAAACAAGTGGACTTATAGATTTCAATGCCTGTGATTAAAATTCTTTTGTATTATTCTAGAAATCCTGTATTTAAAGAGTAATGTTTCAATAAAGATACTAATTTGACTGCAGATATTTTCTGGGTCTCTGCTAGTCTCTACTAATGTATTTACTGTTTTAAATCATAAACTCATCTTTGTTTTTAAACCATACAAATTTTCATTTCTGTTATCTAAGTAGTAACCAGTAATGCCATTTAATGATGTTTGTTTCTTTCGTAATTCATGTTCTATTAATAAATGATAACAAAATTGTTTAGTTCTGTTTGAGTGACTTGAGTTTCAAGCAAAAGTCTACTTATCTCTAGTGCCACCCAAGCTCGAAAGTCCAGACACTTCCTTGGACTTTGAACCTAAAGTTCACTTGAACAGACCAGTAACCCTGAGATGCCCAGTTACAGGAAGTCCACTGCCACAGATTCGGTGGTTTAAAAATGGCAGACCACTTAATGACAGCTCTGATTCCAATGTCTACATCCTTTCTGGTGGACTACAACTGAGCATTTTAAGAGCCAGGGAAAACGACACTGGAAAGTACTCATGTGTGGCATTAAATGAGGCAGGAAATACACAGTTAGACTTCAATTTGGATGTTTATGGTTCGTATTTGTTTTTATTGTTAATAAGAACTTCTGAGTGTATGGTAATACGTCAATCACATTATATCTGCTATATCCAGTGTTAATCATGTTATGAAAATAAATACAGTTTTGATTTCTGAATGTACCTGTAATGGTTAACTAGATATAGAGCAGAAAAGGTTAGACTAAATATTGCTGAGGTTAATTAGATTATTGTTAATCTCCTTGTAATGCTTAACTAGATATAGAGCAGAAAAGGTTAGATTGAGATATTGTTTCAAGCTAAACAGATTTTATAATTTTGGCTGACTAACCTAAAGATGTATTCCTTAACAAATTGTTAAGTTTTCTTAGAAATGTTGGACAACTAAAGACATGTTCGGTAACTAGGAGGCTATTTTCAGATTAGTTTAACTATTTTTCCTTGATGTGTTTTTTAATATTAGTAAACTTTTCTTATAGTTATTATTTAAGATCGTCTAGTTCAAACTTTTAAATTCATTACATTTTAAATATATGTGATCAGCTACAATGTGAATCTTTACTTTTGTTATTTTTGTTGTTGTTTATATATTTATGTCTGTGTATAATATTGTATGAAAGTGTTTGCTAGCTGTTAATAACAATAACAACTTACACGTTCTTTCTTTAGTACCACCAAGAATAGAATCAACCAACCGTGATACTCGATACACCATCACAGAAAAGGATCCAGTTATTATTAATTGTCCTACACAAGGTAACCCCCCTCCGACAATTACCTGGCTCAAAGATGGTGACTTTTTGACCAGTGATCAACTTTCTAGAATTGAGATTTTAGATAAAGGTCAGAAACTTAAAATAACTGCAGCTGAAGTAACTGATACTGGGAAATACACCTGTGTTGCTGGAAATGAAGCAGGTGTAACAGAGAAGGACTTTAAAGTGGATGTTCAAGGTATAAAATACTACATATCTTGAAATCAATTACTGTTTGTTTTAGTCCAATATTAAAATGATTTTTATTTCCAAATATTTGCTTTTATTCAAATTATCTTTACATACTATCTGTGAAGAATAAAAACTTTACACTGGAAACATTTTCTTTTTTAAGCAATTAAAACTGACATTTAAGTCCATAGGAACAGGTTACCCTCAGCACAAATATTATTAACAACAGTTCCAAACGATGTAAGATTAATGACAGTCTCAAATGACGTAGGATTAATGACAGCCACAAACAATGTAGAACTAACAACAGTTACAAACAATGTAGAATTAACAACAGTTACAAAC